CACACACACACACACACACACACACACACACACACACACACACACACACACACACACAAGCAAACGGCCTCGCGTTGGCTCTACTGTTTGATCGTTTAACATCTCCTGACAGAGCACGGCGAGGTTAATGTGGGCTGTAATGGGTGCCCGGTTAAGAGCTGCCTCTGACAGTCAGTCGGTTCAGCACCATGGAGCTGTCCACAGTGCTGAATGGCGCTCCCCAGCTCCATTCACAGAAGCCCTGGCCAATCCCAGATGGCCTCCATTCATCCAACCAGCGGCAGAGACACAAGCACAGGCGTCAAGTGAAAAATCTAACCAGGCCATCTGCCTGCTTATACAGACCCAATGTGTGGCATGCACAGGAGCGGGGCCTAGTTTGGAAAAAGTAGCTAGGATCTAGGGGAAGGAAATGTGAAAAGGCAAACCAAATCCCTTTTGTGTGCATTTGCAGTCAGCAAACTATGATTCACTTTCTTCTTTATGTCTCTGTTCTATTGAATGTCTTAATGCTGGTAAATACAGCAGCCTTTTTTAGGTACGATAATGCATATTGTTGCATATAAACACTCTGATTCTTTGAGTGCAGAAAGGCGTTGGAGGAAGCTGCTCTTGAATTTATCTCCTGCACAACAGTGGATCAGGATTTATTTTCTTTCTTGACAGTTTTGCTGTCAGTGTTTAAAGCCAGGCTCCGTATTCAGTCTGCTGTTACATGTCTCTTTATATTTCGAGTATTTGTGGGATCTTGATACATATTTGGATTAGCTACAAAAATACATACAAAAAATGCATCTGATAGATTTTTTTGCTGAGCAAGACACTTAAAGACACATTGGATAAAAGATACAAGTAGCACAGAGACCGATTCCAAGTCTCAAAGCCTGTATCAGAGGCTAGTTTATGACAATATAAGAACAAACTGAATGGATTTATTGTTCTGCTTAGTATTTTTAGCTGGACAAAATTTATGCATTTTTAGTGCACGTGAGGATCAACAAAAGCTACACACAATTGTTTGACAACAAGCATCTCGAGGTTAACCACACTGGAATGTGATCCAAGAAAAAAAAAAGTCAGGTTTCATCATCTGCAGTTAAAACTCTTACAATACTTACAATAAGGGGAACAATGGCAAACATGCCTAAAAAAACATTAGTACGAAGCTGTTCATTAAAATATATTTGAGCAGTTTGTATAAATAGATGTACAAATGTACAATAAATGCAAACTCATATACAGAATAACATTCTGACCCTGTGCAGTCAACCGAGTCTATACAAGTGAGCAAAATGCACAATGTTTAAATTGAATGGCATCAAATGTAATCCGTGAAAGGGGCATCCATAAAATGGAAATCCCAGTAGGCGGTTATTATAATAGACTACAGGAAGCAGCTCAACATTCATTCTTCAATTCTTCAATTTCTAGTGTATGAATCCAAAATGCTCTTCTTTTTAACAGTAATCTGTCTGCATTCCCACCACTTTTAGGAGTAATTGTAACCACTATTTCTATTTCTGTATGTATGTTAGGTAAATGTACCAGGGTACACTGAAAATTTTACAATGTGTGAAAATTTAACCATTCACACATGGGTAATAACTTAGTTATGTAAAATTATACTGTTCTTGACTCTTAACAGCCAGTGGAGTGACTTTTCTACAAAGGATTCAGGTCGAACTTCCAAAGGATGCAAAACTTATGCTCATTACTAAGTGCCCTGCTGCACTGCCTCTTTGTTGATGCCAGCATCAACAGTGAGCGTTACTAGCTAATAGTAGCGTAGAAAGAGTCCACTAACCTGAGTGACAAATGGCTGACTCGCAGCGCCAACAATTGGCTTCAATGTGCTACTGACAGTATCAGTTGCTAAGTTGGGTATCAAGTCTGTGTTAGCAGTCAAGCTAATGTTAGCTACAGGGATGTGCAGAACTAGTTGACTAAGCGACTAATGGTTGCTGTTGTCAGTAGTCGGGACCAGACGTACTAGTCGTTAAATCTAATTGTTAACATTTGAATTGATGCCCAGTCCTAAATGTTATGCAGCCAGCTAGAGCAGGGCGATATGGCCAAAAGTATTTATCACGATATATATTTGAAAATTTGCGATAACGATATAACTGACGATATAATTGATGCGAGACAAAATA